TAGCCTTTACATGTAACTGCATTGTTAAAACATTCTAATAGCCTTTATGGTTTGGGACCAGTGGGGGAAGAGAACAGTAACCGCACTGCTGTGGTGATGGGGCTCCATTAGGATTTACCACATAACTGCATCATTTTTAATTATTTCTTTTACTCTTTGGGATTACAGTATTTTTAAGGAAAATCCAATAATTCTATAATTTAAGTTGAAAATTTAAACTAATTCCAACTCTATCCTGGTAAGATCATGTTTTTTATATGACATGCTTTTAAATCATTTTACTAAACTATGAATTCTAAGGAATAATTATAATAATTCATAGCAGTAATTAACAATTATTGCTTATTAAATATATTAGTGTGCTGATAGCAATGGAAGCCAGGGCCTTGTGTATGCAAGGCATTGCTCTACCACTGAACTTTGCTCAGGACAACTAATAATTCTTTTTGTTGTTTTGACACAGAGTATCACCATGTAGTCCAGGCTAGACTGGAACTTCACAGAGGTTCACCTGCCTCTGCCTCCTGAGTGCTGGGATTTTTTTAAATAGTGAAATTCTTCTGACTGAAGATTTACTTTACATTATACAAAATCTAGAAGCACCCGTGATGCTTTAATAAGGCTTAAGGGTATTTTATCTACATTCATTTTCTATTGTAACGATTTTAAAATAAACTTTTAAAAATATTTTGCTCATTTAAAGTCACATCCTCAACCTATTTTACTCTTTCAGATTCAAAAAAAATAGATTTATTAAATTTATAAATTTTACATATTGAAAATAGATTTCAATCCTGCTGGAATTCGCCAGAGCTGATGGTGGTAGACAGCCATACAGGAAGCATCCCTCTAAGGCAATGCTGTAGCAGGACGCACAGTCTGTCCCAGTGACTAAATGTCATCACTGACAAGGACTAAATAAGTTCCTTGGAACAAATCACATGTGACCATCCATACAAATGTTTGAGAGATTTTTTTCAAGAATTGACCTGGGAACACCAAGGAAAGAGTAATTAATTCCGCCTGGAGAGGGGCGGTCTGGACGGAGCAGGGCCTTGAACTGGAACTGAGAGGTGGCAGTAACCCCGGGCAGTCTGGGTGAGTGGCGGTGCCATTAACCCAGACACGGGACATAGATGCCTATCACCATTTAGTGAGGCACATGCCATGTTCTCTGGACAAAAACTCAAGACTCTCAACATCTGGTCCATATTAAGATTACAGCCCTATAAATAGGAGCAACTATGGATTAAAGTGGGATGTTTATTTAAAACCCACTCAACAAAGACTGTTTTAAGACCTGCTTCTTAAGATACTAAAACTTAGCCATTTAAAGAAAACCTGTAATTTAAATAAATAGAAAATAATGCAAAATATAATTCATAATAATATAAACTATAAGCTCACTATACTTGGTATTTCAATAAAAATGTAACAAAAACAAGCCTTTCAAAAGAGTGCCTACTTTCAAGAGGATGCCTCAGAAAACGGCTTCCTGACGGAGACGTGCATTCTTCCAACGCAAGGCTAAACCTTTTTCTTCGCTCGCTAATTTGGAGGGGTCACCTGGGTCTCACTTTTCATGACCTCATAGGACAAATCCTCAGGAGCTATAGACTCACCAACAGGACTGTGCTCATCAGACTTGTTAAGAAGCAAAATGAGCCATCGTCTATTGCTTTGCATTACAGAGATCTTAATAATCTCCAAAATTACGATTGCCACAGTTACTTTCTAGCTAAGCTGAGATTCCCAGTACAGGAGTAATGAAAGACGATTTAACCGGCTGGCTGTGCTTCACGTGACCTGTTCATTCTGTGTGATCCATTCTCCTGGTATTAAACTACCACATAGCGCAAGAACAGCTTGTTCAACACGTCCAGGACACACACAATTAAATACATATATTTCCATCCACCCCAGCGTTGGGGACCAGACCTAGGGCCTCAAGTGAAAAGCACACATTTAAGGCCATTCATGTGCTCCACAGTTGAAAGATCGGGAGCTCTGCAGAGTCACACTTTTCCCCAAGTTCCATCTGCCAGCACGAGCCCAACTGGGCATCAGTCGGAGGTTTAGACAATGAGGATCAGGAGCAAGGAGTGTGTGTGTGTGTGTGTGTGTGTGTGTGTGTGTGCGTGTGATGGAGAGAGAGGATATGTGTGTGACTATATGATGGCATGAGTGTGTATATGTGCGTGTGTGAGAATACATATGAGAGCGTGAGTGTGTGTATGAAAATTGTTAGTATGTATGTACGTGTATGAGAGTGTGCATGTGCATGTACATGTACATGAGTGTGGATGAGTATGAGTGTGTGTGCTACTGTGACAGAGTAGTATTTATAAGAGAGAGAATACAATTACTTGCCTTCCAAACTCCAATTTTCCTGTCATGCTTCTGCAGTAAAAGCTCATCCGCTATGTCTTTCATCCGTATCTAAAAGCATAATCAATTATTTTAGCAACATATTCAGGAGAGCTAAAGTTTGAATTATTTATTATTTTAACAGCTTAAGGAATGAAGCAAAGGTCAGGTTAGGTAGGAGAGTGTCACTCAGGAGGATGAGACTCAGACCATGAAGTAAAACCCTGCACTCCGCGTTATGGGCGGGTTCTCCTGGGTGGGTTCTCCGGCTGCCCTGTCACCAAATGGCACTACTCCAAACACAGGTGACAGTCACTTCAGCTTGTGTAAGAATGGAAGCTGTAGAGTTAGTGATGGCCTCACAGGTGTTGTGCCATCTTCTAACCATCTTACATTTCCTATAAGTGATTTTTAGGAGCCACCCATAATTCACAGAAGGTATCGCTGCCTTCTATGCCCGCTGGTTCTTCAGCTATGGATTCAACTAACCTCAGATGCAAAATATCCAAATAAGGAAACTGTACCTGTACTGAGCATGTACAGGCATCTTCCCCTTGTATTTGTTTTTCCAGATTGATTTAACATTTTTATTGTATTATGATTTTAAGTAATCTAATGATGAAATAAAGTATATGGAGAAGTATATGTAATTATATGCATATACAGCCTCATTTTATAGAAGGGGCTTCAGCATCTTCAGGTTTTTAGTGTCCAGTGGGTCCTCTCTGGATACCAAGGAACAGCAGCATTTGGGAGTTTCTGGTTGTATATAATATCTCCCTTTCCTGGGGAACTACTCTGCCAGATCTATGTTGTGTGTCTTTTATTCCTAGCAGCTCACCTAAAGAGGCCAGGCCTGTAAGACAAAGCAATGCTGCGGCTGAAGCCTGGGCCCTGCCTGCTAGGCAGGTTCAGTATCAGGCTCATACCATGACCTGAGCCTTTGTGACAGACATAGATCAGGGGAAGGGAAGCTGGCCTTTCTTGCTAGATTCCCAGAGTTACCCCTGATTCTAAAGCTTGGATGTCAGCTCCTCTCCTAAGCATGGGAGATGTCCCAGTTTCATTCACTCAAAATTCTCACTGCTTGGCATCTTCTGCTGAAGGCTGCTAGGATCAGTTGGTTTTGCTGTGCACCCACAGAATACAAAGGAAGTGATTGCAGGCTACAATACCTTGACTGTGGTAAAGAGAAAATGTGGTAATAATATCAGTAAGTCAGATGTCACTTCACCTGGTTACGGAGAGAGAACTGGAGTCTCCTTTGAGTCAAAGGAGATTTGAGCTTCCTCAAAGCTTGGGAACACCTTGCTCAGCGCGTTAGCTCATCCCTACGCTACAAACTGTGCTCTAACTGTGCTGGTTTTATCCTAATGTGCTCAGCTACGAAGACCAAGGTCACTTCCAGATAAGTAGGCCCGAAAGAGCTTGACAAAATGAAAATAACATAGGGGAATACTTCTCATGTTTTTTTTTTCTGATTAACATTAATGATTAAATTAATTTTTAATTAAACATTAATTTTTAGTGTGTTTAAAAATCAAAATTATACATGGCAGGCCAACCTCTTTTTAGGCACACTGCTGATATTTTAAATGATCAAAATAATATTTGCTTCCTATAAATAAAATCAAAGTAAAGAAAAAGAATATAAAAAATAAAAAGTAAAAGCCCTCACTTTCGTAACGTATTCTTTAGGAGGCAGATCTTCCCAGTACTTTTTTCATAAGCACAAACATCCATAAATGTGGTAGATGGTTGTGCGTCGAGACATGTATGAAGACAGAAAAGTGGAAGGAGATGTAACAGAATAATCTCCTATATACTATATATCTCCTATATACTTCTTAGTTTCTCAGTAAATAGTATCTGTCATACATATGCATGTGAACATGTCAGTACATGTGAACATGTCAGTACACGTGGACATGTCAGAGCACGTGGACATGTCAATATATGTAGACATGTCAGTATATATGGACACGTCAGTAAACGTGGACATGTCAATCCATGTGAACATATCAGTACATGTGGACATCTGTCAGTACATACGGGCAACTCATTTTTATATCAAAATCTCATTTATAATCTTATTTTATATGGTACTGAAGTGCTTTCCATACACTGGAGTTATTGTTGATTTGTTTAAATATTCTCCCTTGTGATATCGCAGTGAATGCTCTTGTCTATTCTTGCTCATCTGCATGAAAACTTAATGATATTAAAAATATCAGTTGCCAGCCAGGCCTGGTGGTGCAAGACTATGGGTTCAAAGCCAGTCTGGTACATAGCGAGTTCCAGGTCAGTCAGGACTGTGTAAAGAGACCTGCTTCTAAAACAAAATAAATAAAAAACAAAACAAAACAAAACAAACAGCAATAAAAACCAAAACACAAAACAAAACCCAACTGCATTACTAGATGAGATTTAAGTCTCTTCTTGCTGGGTACCGTGCTAAGAAACCAAGCACACATTGTTGTCATTACCATTAAGAGGGGGCTTCATTTTGTATCTGTATCTGGGCCTGTAACTTGCAACGATACCGCTGCCTCTACCCCAGAGTCCTGGGATTACAGGCATGTGCTACCACGGCCTAGTGCAGTTGTTGCTGACAGTCTTACTTCTCAAATGGAAATACCAAACAAACGAAACTCGGGAGAGGAACCACAAATGTGCAGCAAACGCAGGGGTTGGGAATTTGAGAAGCCGGATTCCTTGCTTGCCATAGCTACCCACTTCAGGCTCATGACTGGTCCACTGAAGGGTTGGCTAGGTCCTGCCAATGGCTAGTCCAAGATTATGCTGGTCATGTACCTTTATCTTCTGACGGGACGCAAACTGTTCGCTTGAGAGGAACAATGGCAGCCACACATTTTCCAGCCTATTCAGGACGTGTTTCTGGATTTCCACCAGCACAGATGGGTCAAGCTGCTCGTGAAGGATCCTCCCCCAGCCGCCACTCATCAGCATTATCTAGGAGAGTAAGAACAGCACAGAAACCACATGCTTTTTTAAAAAAAAAAAAAAAAAACTAATAAAAGCCCTTTAATTCACTCGCTCATGTGGAGCCTTCTGCATCATATTGGATAGGTGCCACGATTTCCATTTTCCATAAAACGTCTTCTTAATGTAAAGTTTTGCCTCCTGTGGGATATTGGAAAAAGCACAGCAATGAGGTGTTTTTTTTGTTTTTTGTTTGTTTTCTGTGTCAGGGCCTAATTTCTGCCACTGGGCTCCACCCAGGCTCCCAGGCACTAACATTTTTTCCCTCCATGGTCTCGGTAGCCATGACACAAGGTGGTCACTACTACTTTTCCGAGTTCTTATAAATACATAATCCTAGTCTAACTGACCCATTGCAGGGAGCATCTGTCTTTTCATAGGTGAGGGAAACAAGGCATCTGATTAGTAACGCGAGCTCCTGACCCAGGTCCTGGAGATGCACACAGCAGCGGCAAACTTGGTGGCTGGGTTGTTGGGCAGAGGTGGTGGGCTGGCTGCCCCCTTCCTGGCGCTTCTCTGACAACATTCGGGAAGAACCCAGGGGAGGCAGCAGAGAGAGGAAGGTGGTGCGCATCTGATTTGTACAGTCAGCAGCGCTCACAGAACTCTGTGAGTCTATGGCCTGAATCTTCCTGAGTAGCCTAGGGCTCCCCTCAGGGCTGTTCCTGGCAGCAAGTCACTGAGGTTTCTACCTTCCTCTGCGTACTGCCAAGACTCTGCTCACTGGAATAAGCCCTCTAGTTAGTTCACCTTTGATGAATACAATTAAGAAAATACTACTAATATTTTATATAAAAACAAAGCAGAAATCATCTTTTTAATTGTCCCTAACAATATTAAATAAGAGTAAAGAATAGGATTGCATTTTCCTGAGCAAAGAGGTTTTAAATTCAGTCGGGGACAGGATGAGCTGTACCGAATGTGAGGCAAAACTCCCAGGTACAAAACAGGTCGAGATGGGATAAGCAGAACGGCAAAGACAGGCCGGTAGGAGAGTCTGCTGTGAGCGAGAGCGTTTGCTTGACGGCAGTGGTGACCGCCCCACCGCCGTCGAAACGCTCAGCAAGCGGCGTGTACTACAGCACGCAGACGCCACAAAGCCTCACGCCAAACAGAAGACAAATGCTTCCCATGTGTTCGGTCCACACGTGGCCTAGCCACGCCTCTGACGTGCCGCCCTTCTTTCCCTCCAAGCTCCGTCCCTTCACCTGCTCCAGAGTCAGCTTGAGGGGTTGGTTGTCTGGATTCATGAATAGCTCAGAGTTTTTTTCTTTACTGAATCTAACATTAATCTGAAATTTCCATTTTCTAAGTATAAACCATTAAAGAATACTTATCTTTGTAAGCTCCAAATATTAAAAAAGATTTACACAATACATTTGCTCTTTAGATAGTTAAAAAAAAAGTCCACCTCACGCTAAATAGATCACTTTTAACTCTAAATTTCAAAAGCACAATCAGATTGTTTCCTGTAACTGATGGCTTCATTGTCAATTGAATCTGTAATTCAGGCCACTGCCACGGCACAACAAAGTGGCTAAACCTATGTTCACAGTCTGTGAGAAGTTTTTAGGCTGGGCATGGAGATGCACGCCCGAAATCCCAGCATTTGGGAGACAGAGGCAGGTAAATCTCTGTGAGTTTGAGGTCAGTCTGGTTTACACTCTATGCAGAGTTCTAGGATAGCCAGGGCTATGTAGAGAGACACTGTCTGAAAAAATAAAAATAAAAAACAAGCAAACAAAAAACCATCCATTCTAGGGTGACATAATCATAAACCGTGTTTCTGAAGATCAAAAGCTGTTTGAGTAACAGCAGCTGAGGGGAATAAATGAGGCCGCAGCTGGGCTCAGGGGTGGGTATGGCTCTTTTCTACTGTTGAAGACCCAAGGCCCTTGTCTCTGTGGTTTCACACTTGGTCCTGAGCACCTACAACAGTGTCAGACACACTAGTGACACACACGGTCACTCAATGAATGAAGGACAAAATCAGATCAGTGTGAAGCTGTCTTTGGATCCCCAAATTTACGAACACTGTCCTTAAAACTGACCTAGATGAATGACATTTTATCTAATAAAGTAACTTTTAAAGTGATATGTTTTAGGGCATGTAATACTTGAGTGAACTTTAGATATCTGTAGATGCTCACCAGACACCTAAACCAAAGTGTCTCTCCCAAAGGGTAACACACAGCAAAAAGAGGCTGTCACGCTGCGGGCGAGAAGAAAGGATTGCCTGTACCCTCCAAACATGCTCGTACCTGGTCCTGCTGATACAGAGAAGCTGGGCTGCTGGGGCCGAAGAAATACTTTTTATTAAGATATTTGTTCTTAATGTCTATAGACTTTGCCTCCCTTTGCTTCTGGTCCTTAAAAAGCATCCTTCGGAACTGTTCGATGTCTGTCCAACATGCAAGGTCGATGCTGGAAAGAGAATGCATTCTTTCTTAGTTAGCCTCTAGAGTCAATTAGACACTGGCCAAGCTGTTGACAGGCGGGAGGTGGCTGTCTGGTCAGATCAAGGATGACTGTCTACAGCATAGCCTCATCCAAGCCCAGCACAGATGGCTCCACTGTTGCTACAGTCTTAACTCTCGCTAAATAAACAGCTTCTGGAGAAGGTATGGGGTATGCAGTAGATCTCTCTGGTGGTGTCTCAGAGTTGCATCTCAAGACTGAACTAGGATCTTCAATGTCAAATACAGGGAAATGCCACATATATGTCATGGTTATTCAATAATGGGACAAATTTAAAATAATCCTCATCAGGATGAGGAGAAGTTTGACCCTAAGTTCAAACCAGTTTCTGTTAATGTGAGAGACAAATATGTTCATCATACAAAACTTTCTAAAACTGCAATGTTTGATTTCTATGTTAGTTAACAGAATTGTGAACTTTTACAGAAATACTAAAGGGAGTGGCAGAAAGAAAGCTTACACGCTGCTTCAAGCCAGCTAGTACTAAAAACACCCCAAGCACTGCATGACTGCCGAGAAGAACACGGGAGGCTAATGCAGTTGCACGCTCGTCAAAGTCATTTAAGCAGACTTTTGTTCGTTAGTTTTCACTGGCATAGGTAAAGATCTACCGCCTCTGGCCAACAAGATGCCCCAGAGAGAGAAGGTGGCCCCTGCCCCTTGCCTTCGTGAAGAAACAGAAGGTCAAAATGGTGGTAAATTCTTTATTTGAGAAAAGGCCTGAGAACATCACCATTGGGCAGGACATCCAGTCCAAAAGAGATCTCACACGCTCCGACATACGGCCCCGCTACACTAGACTGCAGTGGCAAAGGACCATCCTTTATAAACAGCTAAAATATCTCCTGCCTTTAACCAGTTCCCCGGGCCCTGGACCAGAAAACCGCTGTCCAGATGCTTAGGTTTGCCCACAAGTATGGGCCAGACACAGAGCAGAGGAAGGTAAGGCTGCTGGCAAAGGGGTCATCCCAACTAAGAGACTACCTGTCCTTCGAGCAGGGGTCAATACAGTCACCACCGTGGTGGAGAACAAGAAGACTCAGCTGGTGGTGATTGTCCATGATGTAGACCCGGTTGAGCTGGTGGTCTTCCTGCCTGCCCTGTGTTGAAAGATGGGGGTCCCCTACTACTTCATTAAGGAGAAGGCCAGGCTGGGTCGGCTGGTCCCCAGGGAGACATGCATCACCATTGTCTAACACAGGTTAACCCAGAGGACAAGGATGCCCTGGCTAAGCTGGTGGAAGCTATTAGGACCAATTACAACGACAGATATGGTGAGATCTGCCTCCACCTGGGAAGGCAAGGGCCTGGGTCCTAAATCTGTGGCTTGAATTGCCAAGTTGGAAAAGGCAGAGGCCAAAGGACTCGCCACTAAACCGGGTTAACTGTACACTGCTAAGTTTTCTGTGTATGAATGTAACTACAAGCTTCTCTCCCATCTTTAAAAAAATCTGCTACCAAGCCGTTAATATCGCAGAAATCAAAATTAGTATCAAAAAAGGATTTATTTTACTGAGAAATATATTTAAAATTGGGTATTTCCTCACCTTGATGAATGAGATTCTAGAAACTGGCGGAAATGTTCGAATTCCAGTTTGTTGTTAAGCAGATCACTGAAGGTGAACTGCTGGTACTCCTCAGGGACATTGCTCCAATACTCGGTTTGTTTGGAGACGTCAGACAGCGACAGCTTGCCAGCTGCAGGTCCGGCAGTGTCCTGGGGACAAAATACTTTCAAAAAAGTCTCTTAAATGCAACAAATTATTTGCAGTTTTAAACAGGAAACCTGAAATAAAAGTTAACTGCTGGGCTGAGGCCAGTTCCCAACTGGTAGAACTAGACGGACAGACTGGGTGTTCACATTCTGACGCTCAAGGTCTTCACTGCTCCTTTTCACTCCACTCCTATTGTGTGCACGTGTGCATGAGCACAAGTTCATATGTGTGCACGTGTGCATGAGCACAAGTTCATGTGGGTGCACGTGTGCATG